ATGGCCATGAACATTCTCAACTGATCTCAGTACAGTTAAAGGGCCAAGAAAAAAAATGATATTATTCTAAGGCTTTTAGAAGGTGCAAAAGAACACAAGAAAGAGGAAGGAAAGTTGTTGGATAGTTAAGGATAACGGGAAGACAGATTTGACATGACAGATAGAATGACAGTGAATCGAAAGCGGAAAATGATTGTTTTCTGTTTTTTGTTGTCAAAATAGGAGTAGCAACAAATCAGATAACGAAAGAGGCCATTGAACACTCAGGAGAGAGCATCACTTTGATCCCATCAGGCTACAAACACACCACCTGTAAAGTAAACAAATATACAATACTCCAAATAAAATAAACAAATCCAAAAGGCCGTTAAACCAAAAAACAATAACATATAAACAATCTCCTGCAAAAATAAACCTAATTCTAATCAAAATAATCTTAAATACCAATAAGAAGGGTCCCACATGGTAAAATAGCTAAGAGAGCAGACAAAAGTCTCGCTAGACCATCCCGGTTTGGCAAAAAAATCATGTAATGACGCCTATGAAATGTTGAATCTCTCATGATGGTAGCCATCCCGGAGATAAATTGTCAGTCGAGATATCCGACAACTATTCAAAAGGGGTTGTCCCTCTTCGGTATTGGCTCCTTAGACTCACTACCTTCATGACACTAAATATTAATCGTGTTGGACTCTCTAATGAGCTCAGCTTGAATCACCAACATCTTTCATTCATCAGCTTGAAGCTAATGCTCCTTTCTGACGTCTTCCTTCTCTCCCGCGTTACTGACTATTTCTTCAACTGCTCCCAGTTCAGTGCAAAATATCATTCTTTTGTTTGAGCAATCTGAGGCGTCGTGACCAAAACCGTGGCACTTGACACACTTCCTAGCTAAACGGATTTGGGAGTGTTGGTTAGCTCCACCTTTCTCCACTCTGAACTAATTTCTCCTTAGGCGGGGTCAGCTTGGGTGCTACGTTGGGTGTACTCTAGCTACTGGATCTTGGGATTGAACTCTGCCTGTAAGGTGTGGGGTCACCCGGTGATATTGTTGTATCTTCACCTTTGAAGCTAGGGCTCGAACATCCTGTAATGTCAAATAGAGTTGTAATTGTACCACCTTGCCAATGAAGAATCCTAATTCTTCCAGATATTGAGCTATGGTATTCTCCTCGGGCTCCACTGGCCCACTTCAACATTAGTCGCTCTAATTCAGCGGTCTTGCTGTTATAAGTGATAAAGTCTCAAGAACATGTCATATTTGTAATGTGCTCTAAATCAGTGTACTTGTGTTGCATCTCTCGTTTCGTCTTTGATCATATAGTAATTTTACCCTTTCATTAGTTGAAAATGTTTTAGGTTCTCCTATCACAATGAAGCATTCATCCTGAGCTTGACAGTTGCAACTTTGACCCGCCTGTCAGGTAGAACATCCTTATACTCAAAGACTCGTTCCATTATCTGGAACCACTCAAGGAATTTGTTTGGATCCATACGATTGTCAAAATCTGCCAAGTCAATCTTCACTTCAAAATCTGGTTTCTCTAATATGCTATGTCAAATTGTTAAGGTATTGATTCTTTACTATTGGAAACTGTCTAGTGAAAGGGATTCACTTCCTTCTCTCAATCTAGAGCGTCGACCTCACCAGATTATCTCCTCTTGAAGGCGACAAGTCTCTGTTATAGTTGGAGAATTTCTCGATGTATGCCTTCCATAGTGAGTTCTTGAACAACTTGTTGTGGGTTTCTCTTGGCAACATGACGCCAAGTTATTCCGATGGAAGTTTTGAGGGAAAAAAAAAAGATATGGTTCAAGGGTAGGGGTAGGGGTAGGGCTAGGGGTAAGCCTAGGTGGATGGTGTGAGAAAACAAAAATTGTGAGGGTGTTAGGTTAGATTGTATGGATACTTAATTTAGATGCAGGAATAACAAATCCCCAAAATTTTAGGGTTTGTTAGACTCTGATACCAGATGATATCATTCTAGGTCTCCTACAATATATGAAAGAACAAAAGAATAGGTAAGTTATAGGATAGGTAAGGAAAATAAAAGGATTAATATTGGTTGATATCTGACGTGAATGACATTATAACAACGAATTGAAAGTGAAAAACAACTGTTTTCTGCTGTCAAACAGTAGCAGACAGCAAATCAGACGACCAAAGAGGCCTTCGAACATTTGAAAGAGATCACCATTTTGATCTTATTTGGCTATAGACACCACACGAAAGAAATCCAAAGATACTCCAATAGGGAAAATCAGGAACAAATATCTCCAAATAATTTATACAAAACCATAAGTCTAGTAAACCAGAAAACAATAACATACAAATAGTTCTCTTGTAGAAATAAACCTAATTCTAATTAAAGTAATATTAAAATACTAATAAGAAGAGTCCCACATGGCTAAAATAGCCAAGAGGACGAAAAAGTCCCACTCAGAACTATTGTGCGGGACCCTGCGGCCTGCTTTGCCCGTGATCGGGATCGCGGGATGGAGAGCTACCGCGCGCCAGCACATTATTTAACGGCTTTTCCCATGTGGCATGCACAACGCCAACTAACAACCCTAGTAATATCCCTTATTAATGAAGTATGGCCAAATGCATGGTTTCATTCTATCCAAAATGACCTTTCAAGCCACCAACATGCATTTCCCCCACAATATAATTACAAAGTGAGGTCCTAAGAACATAAAGCTAACTGCTTTTATAAAGATATCCAAATTGAGCCATAAAACTAGCAGAAAGAATATATAGAATGTCATTATGATTGCAAAAAATCAAGCAAAAATCAGGATGTCACTTATTTGTTTTGTATCATAACAAAACGAAACATAATAATGTTCATAGAGGTAAGAAAGTAAAAAAATTTTGAGATAGATGCCCGCTGATTTATTCTAAATGTCATGTAAGTGTTTCAATACAGAGGTATACCAATAAAAATACTTCATCTGACTTGTTTAATACTTCTTTCAGAGTATTTATATATTTAAAGTCATAATGGTAAGAAATGAGAATGAACTCTTTTGAGGGTAAATAATGTCCCCAATACTTTAATATCTAAATGAGAATATACAAATCTCGATCACAAGCAAAACTTTTGATAAATTTCATTTAACTTTTAACTAAATTATATGACTAAGGGTCCGTTTGGGGCAGTTTGTGCGTTTCAGGATAAACTGCTTATCCTGAAACGCGGCCCGCTGGCTGGCCACAGGGGTCGACCCACGGTCTGCGTTTAGTATAAAAACTCAAATACAGTTTCGGATAAACTGGCGAAACGCGCAAACCAAACGGTATGACGGCGTTTTGAAAACGTCGCCCGCACTTATAAGCTGCCCCAAACGAACCCTAAGTGACCTTCCTGGGTTAAGGACTCCATCTATACCAACATCAGAAGTATCATAATGTACCACAAGAACTATGATGGATAATTTGAAAAAAAAATAATAATAATAAAGATAAATTTAATTGGACACTTTTCAAAGCCTCAGAATAAATAAAGGTTTTGAGAACAATATCAAAGATAAAAAGGTTAGCTTAGCCAGAATTACCCTGACTTTTAAGATATTTGGTTAGATAACCTCGGAAAACATTAACAAAACCACACAATATGAGTTTAAATTGTATAAAGGTACGCTTTTTAAATTGCTTTACAACTTATCCATTAAATTAGATAATACTTAAGGCAGGCATGCACACACGCACATCCTGTCTACAAAAATTTGTGTACCTAATGTTTTAAGCTCAACATGCTCGGTGGGGTTCTTACTTATAGTAAATTGGTAACTATTATCTGGATATGAAATCATGCAAGCAAACGCGCACGCATGCACGCACGTCCTGTCAATAAAATTTTATGTACCTAATGTTTAAGCTCCACATCCTCAGTGAGGTTCTTACTTATATAGTAAATTAGAAACTATTAGCTCAATATGAAATCAATAATATGTTAAGTATCACACAAAAGAGGAAGCTTATTGGGCAAGAATGGACTAGACTTTGATAGAATGTGTGTAATCAACTAAATGGTTTTAAAAAATAGGAGATATCTCACAAATGAGCGATGGAAACAGTACACTAGTCTCAATAATAGTCCTTTGGAGGATCATTCAATCACAAAATAGCAAACTAGAAGTGTAATGTAATCTAGTTGAAGCAATGGAGGCTTGTGTTGATACCTCGATTGTTTTATGAACTTACTAGAAACTTCAAAAATCGACTAAATAGTGTGCCAAAGTTATAGTCAAGCCTTGAGGCTCGAATAGTAGCAGTCTTCGTATTAGATCTAAACTTACGTGTTGCCAAAATGTAAACTCGGTATTTAATATGGAACAAAGGAATGGAGGCACTATTGAACTTAAAAGCAAATATTTTCTTGTCACGGTGGATATAAAATTCATAGCATAAAGCTAAGGGTGATAACAAAATACTTGTAATACCCATGGATTGCCGACATCACGAGGTATATTGTCCTTCTAATCAGCCCATTTGAATAGAAACTAAATAACGCACAATAATCAGCAGGGGTTTGGTTCACCCAAGCCACATGAAGGAGTGAGGTGTGACTCCAGTGTTAAGACTAACTTTATGTTATTTTTGATATAACATTCAAAGAACTCCTAGCATCAAATGATTAATTTGCATCTCTTATCACTGGAAATAACATATATTAGAAAGATGCTAGTGTGTTTTCAATCCTCAGAAGTACCCAAGGATGTGAAAATATATCTCATAGAACATAATTGAGTGAAACTATCATTGATAAGTTGTAAATCACGAGAACAGTAATCATTTCATTTTTCAAAATTCCATATACAAGATAAAAATACAAGCATGGACATTCATTGTAAAAATAACAAATGCTCGATGTAGAAAAAAAAATCTCCATATATGCACTCCAATTCCACACATCTCAAAAAAATAAAAAAAATAATCAGTCAAAAATGCAATCACCAAGGTGGGATTGTTATCTCAATATTTAATGAAGCATTACCTTAAGACCATAGAGCTCAAGCAAGCACTTCATCTGCAAATCCTCCCCCCGATTTGATGGCAATTCTGTATAACCAAAACAAGATTAAGCATACATTAGATAAAACTAGCAGCACATAATAAATTAGAAACAGAAAAACAACCAAAATAAAAGACAACTTATTTGTCCAGTCAAACATAAGCTACTCTTTTGCTGGTTAGACTCGTAGCACCTAGAACATACTTAACTCTGGCTTAGGAGCACCAATTGCTTACCATACCTTGAATTCAGTGAAATGTATCAAAACTTATTTACGATCCTCGTTAATACGATAAAAACATGGGGAGATTATTGCACAGGGAAGTTATTCATCAGCATTAACTAGGTCAACAAAAAACATTTAGAATAATGTTCATAATGATTAAGTATTGTTAGAATAGAATCTTATTGATACAAAGAGAGGTATAAATACCCATTACAAGATCTAAAAGTAAACAAATAAAAACTGAATAAAAGAAAAAAGGAAAATAAATAAAAACAAATCAAAACAACTAATACAAAATTTTGCATATTAATATTATAATATTCTAATACTCTCCCTCAAATTGAAGCATAGAAGACAGTCATGTTCAACTTGGATTTTAAATCATCGAATAGTGGCCGAGAAAGGTTTTTTGGGAGAATATATGACAGCTGGCAACTAGACGGCAAAAATGGAACACAAATTTTCCAGGACTTGAGTTTTCCTCAATGAAGTGTCGATTAATCTAAACATGCTTGGTACGATCATTTTTTAGAATACTTTCAGGTATGACGGTAAATTTGTTATGACTATTAAAAAGGTTTAAATGGTAAATACTTAAACTGAAATGGGAAGGGATAAAATTTAAGTAAAAGTTCAAGATTTTGTAAAAAAATGAGTTGTATTTTCTTTTGATCATTCATGCATAGCATAAGCATCATAATTTAATGCATATTAAATCATAGTTACTCAGTGAGTCATACTTACAGTTGCAATTAATATTTTATTTCAAGAGAAGAAACACTTTAGATCGATGTGTCTGGTAGGAAACATTTGATTTACAGAAGGAGGACTGCAGCTGATAAGTACTACTTATGATATGTTTAAAGTTTCTATTTATTGTTTCATTCATATGTTGTTAGAACTGGTTTGAGATGAGGTTTTCATATTATGATATTATTTCTGTATGTTTAATTTTATTGCACTTTGTGGATTAATGACTTTTATATATTGAAAGTTTCTGAAAAATTCTATGAAAAGTAAAATGAAATGTTAATACCGTTCGACCGCAATTCCCGTCTTAATTAATTCTAAGCATCAGGTCAGGTCGTGACATCAGGTCAATTATGTGATAAAAGATGAGCATTAGAAGAGATAACATTTATAGAAGACACAAACAACCAATAATGAGATAAATTTAATTATATTATTTTAATTAAATTCGATTAGTAGTTCTTTCATCTGTTAAATAGTTACTCAACATAAAAAAATTAATTCACATCGTCTGATCGTCTGTTCCCGTTTTGGTTAATTCTAAGCCCCGGGTCGAGCCATGACAGTCATGATAATCATTAATATAAACCTAGCATAATTCAAGTATATAATGATCAATATTAGAGTTTATAAAACAAAATATGCTGCAATAATAGAACTACAAATACGACTCTGAAAAAAAAACTAAATATCTTAGCTTTCATAACACTATCAGGATTGTTTTTTATGGTAATTAAATAATATGATTAAATTAATTACACAAAGCATTTGTTGTGAAAAATGCAAAATGAACATTATTTGTTGAAGCCTACTTAAAATGCTTTCTATGCCAATATGATTAAGAGCCATTCAAATGTGAATTTAGAACTCAAAGAAATGTAAAAGCATATCAACAACAACAACAAAAGATTATTCTAAATACCAACAATCATATTGATAACATGAACATAATATGTTTCAAAAGGAAAAAAAATTGAAGGAAGGCACTCGAAAATAATAAGACTTATTTGGGTGATGTGCAAATCAATGTTGGACTTTATACTACAGTTTATCGCAAAAACAGTGGTGTGGCCTCTCTGAAAAAGTAAACAAAATAGCTAAGTTTATTGACAATATAAAAAAATACTTCAAGAATAATTAAGAAACATTATCATGCAAATTAATTTCCCAAAAAAAAAAAAACAAGTGACAAGTGAAAAATGCATAATGAGAGATATGAAAGTTCTCCTTTGAAACAAAAAACCAATAATTCATGCTGGATGGCAGAACTAAACTATTGATGAGGCTGACACAACTAATAGCTTTAGTCTTGCTAAAAAAAAAAATGGAAGTAGCCATTAATTCATGTGCTGAATAACGAGAAATATGTGCCATATATTTATGTGTTTAACAAGAAAGGTGACTAAATAATGAGAACTACGTGCCATAGATTTATGTGTTTACCAAGAAAGGGGATAACATGGATTGTTCCTTCACCCACTGACCAAAATAGGAAATTATATGCATCAAATTATATTGAAGTAGTTTTGAATACAAACACTTATAGGGGGAATGGACAAGGCTAGCTTTCTATCCACTTCCTCTCTTCTATATGATATCAAATCAAGAGCAAGGACCGCTTTCTAGCTCACGAACTGAAGAAAAAAGGACGATAATGCTTGACAAACCCAATTCTAAAATTTCCGGCATTGAATTTTCCCAAAAAGACAGAGGATGTATTATTTTTCAAAGGCAACTTGTAATGTAATTCTTGCAAGAAAAGAGGCGCATAAATTATAAATGTTGGAAACTTCAATAAAATCCCCAATATTATAGTGAAAGCAAAGGAGGCCAATCTAAAGTGCAAGACTATCTCATTGAACCAAAAGAGCCTAACTCAAAAGAAATTGACAAGCTAAGGAACTTCCTCAATTCCCTAGAAAAACCTCTTGAAGCATGCTTTCTAGCTCATAACGGCAAAAATTCTAATCATTATGCTTATAATGCCTCAATTAGTTCCCTAAACGTACATAATAGATTCAAAAGCCACTGGTTACATGAGACATCATGCCAACACTTTTTCAAACTTACAAATCTTATATCCAACAATGGAATAATAAAGGTAGACGCTAGATCCTTAACCATCATAGCAGGTCAAAAAAAAAATAAATCCCTACTGCATTTGCTCTAAAAAATGTGCTTGGATCAAATCTAGCAATAAATCTTCTTTTTATTTATAAAATCCAAAGACCACAATTGCAAGTTAACATTTTTTTACTAATTATTGTGCAATTCAATAATTTATTATGAAGAAATCAATTGAGCAAACTAGAAGAGAAAACAGACAGCAAGCTAAACTATAACTACTCAAAAACAACAATCACTCTTCCCATTCCTTCATATCTACTCTAAATAAAGCTAACATAAGGAACCAATTTTTATAAACTATGGCATCCCACCTTTAAAATCTTATATATATATTCTTCTCCTTCATATAAATGTTATCATTGAAAAGTTTCATTATGAGACATGGAATTCATAAACATCAAAGAGTTCCCTTTCCTGAAAATGAATCCAAATCCTTTACTTCTTCTTTGTAAATAATTCCAATATCTGGGGGCTTTAAAAAATCCCTCATATTTACAGAGCTACAGAATTTGTCACATTCATTGAAAAAAGCACTCAGATGACATGATTTTATCTTCTCAGACAAAAAACTAATATTAGTCACATTCTTCTCATTATCTCTAAAATAAGAGAAAATTTTGGTGTTAATATTAAAAGAATCATGATTGATAATAATCAAGATTATTCTAACTAAATTATATCTTATTTCCTTAATAAGGAATGTATAATTTATCATTCCTACTATCCTGATACCCAAAAATAAATTATCTTCTTACCTTAATAAAGAATATATTCTTTATCATTCATATGATCATAAAATCCCACAATAATGTGAGATGAGAAAAAAAAGGCACCACCTGGAAGTTATTAGGACTCTTCTCCTTCAAACTCAAGTTTATAAAAGATATTAGGGAGAAATCGTACTAACCTACAAATATCTCATTATTAGAAGACCCTAAATAATGATGATTTTGAAAATCTCTCAAACTAGTTATTTTTTCTCACAAACAATCTTTTCTTAAAACTTCATCAAAAAATTTCTGGTATATCATTTGATCACATTCACAAATCTAGATCAATTTGATCATATGACCACTTATGTGTGTCTTTTTAGAATATGCATCCATTTGAAAAGAGTATAAATATTAACATCTGATCACCAACAAAATTTTCACTTACAAAAAAATCACTTTTAAAGAAAAATAAACTCCTCTCAAACTTGTTTTCATAAGAACAACCAAATGAAATAATTATTTGATGAATTTAATTATCCCTTAACATCCCAACTATACAACAAAAACAACAGGAATGCATTACTCCCATCACTAAAGAGAATAAAGCCCATCCAAAGTCTCTAATAAGCTCAAGTCTTGAACCATTATAAGGCAGCCCCCATAGCAAGGATCAACCTATTATTACACAATCTTCTATGTACCCCATAATCCATCATACATCATTTCATAAAAAATTCACCTACACAAAATTTTCCTTATAAATATCATCCCCAATACCATTAAAATTCCAAGCACCCTATTTGAGGCCTTAAAAAAAAATAGAAAATGCTATCATAGAATAGATGAATACCTTTAAAAAATCACACAAAAGAAATTGTTGAGATAAGAAAAGGGAAGAAACACGTAGAACGCAAGTGTATTTTCTCAGTAAAACATAAAGTAGATGAAAATTGATAAGTTTAGTATTAGTAGCAAAATGATACATTCAATTCTATGGGACAAACTACTAAGAAATATTTGCTCCTTCAATTTCTTCGGCCGCTAGCCTTGGTTGATGTATAGAACAATATGATATGAAAATACCTTTTTTACATGGGGAGGTTGAAGAAGAATTCTATATGAATCTTCCACCAAAACACAATAGTTATTTCATAGAAAATATGATGTACAGATTAAAAAGATATTATATGTTATTAAACATTCTCCATGGGCGTCGTTTGATAGATTGATAAAGGCCATGTTAGAAATGAGAAAAAAAAAAGCCAAGGAAATCATACATATAAAACGTTCTGCTGATAGAAAATTTTCAAAATTCAAATTAGAGTTTGAAATCAAATAACTTAGTAAGCTAAAAAACTCCTTACATATAAGTACTCAATTAAAAAAAGGAAAATTAGAACTCTCAATAAAATATGTAATATGAATAATTTGATAGAGATAAAAGACTACTTGTGAGCTATGTGGAACTCCAATTAAACTAAGTCAAAAAGGCGATACAGAAAAAAAAAAAAAGGAATAGAAGTTGACAAGGAAAAATATTAAGGATTAATTGGGAAATTAATCTATCAATCCAACACTCATCCTAGTATCACATTTGTATTAAGTCTTGATACATCCCCAGCAAATCTCCATCATCCGACACGAATCTCGAGGCACGACATAGCTCTCGAGATGACTTTTTGAGCAATAAATATTTAAACCTCGATAAAGACTCATCCATAACTCCGATTTCAGCAAACGTACAGTCAAACTGACCGGCTCGACAAGAAGAACCCAATATTACCAAAATTAATATAATTCGAGTCAAATCAAGCTCAAATCAAGTAATTAAACCACACTTAAAAGTTTTTCAGACATACTTCGAAGGTTAAACGAATGTCAAATCTAGCAAGCCTATAATTGAATCAAGCGTCTCGATAAGACAAATCCAATGAGCCAAAGATTGCTTGATTTCGACAATCGTTTAAACGCTCAAATATACATTAAACATCGTCTGATTGAAAGAAGCCCTCCGGACAGTCCAATGGTTCACAATTCTGCATTCATTGCACTTAGAACACTATAAATATAGCTTCTCTCATGATAGGAGGCTGGAGGCTTGAGAGAGAACTTAAAGCTTTGAGAAGGAACTGAAGTCCAGCACCACCCCTGTCACCATCGATCGCAGTCGGACGTCGTTGACCACGCAGACCACCGCCGACTGTCGTCGACCCTGCAGACCACCGCCGACCACCGTCGACCCCGTAGACCACGTCGACCCCGCAGACCACCATCGATTGCCGCCAACCTCGCCAACCATCGTCGACCGCCATATGACCACCGTCGACCGTCGTCGATCCCGTTGACAACCACCGACAACCGACGAGCACTACTATCGTTGTCAACCACCACCGACCACCAATCACCGTCGACCACCGTCGATCACCACCAATCACCGTCGACCACCACCGAATAGAAGTCCTCAGTTGATGTTGTAACTTGAAAAATCTAGCAACTCTTTCCGTCTGTGGGATAATGGGTCTTTGTAATCATCAACCTATGGTGGATTTTTACATCTGGGACAGACCCCATGATTTTTTCCCTTTGCAAGTTTTCCTCATAAAAACTTTTAGTGTCATTACTAGTTGTTTTCATTTACCTGACTGTGTTGAATTCTCGTAAAATGCTAAGACGATAATCCATTACTCTACCGCTATGAATTTTCTAACATGCATCAAGTCTCATAAATCAATTTATGCACAAACCAAAAATTTACCATCTAACTGCTTATAGAGTTTTCAAGTATCTAAAATTATATCAAGAAATGGGATAATTTATAAAAAAAACATGAAGTTCCATAATCTAAGAATTATACTGACGCTAACTATGCAAGATTAAGAGTGGATAAGAGATCCATGTCAGAATATTGCACACTATTGAGGAAATTCTATTAACATGAAGAAGCAAGGAACAACATGTTGTCTCAAGGATAAATGCTAAATATGAATTTACAACAATCTCTTAAGGTATTTGTGAAAATCAAATAGAAATGACCTATGACAATAACATTGGTTCTTTAGAATGATGAATAAAAGGAAACAAAACGATGAATTTAACTATTCAACTCTCCTTTCTAGTAAATCATCGTATGTGGATGGATCTTTTATACATATGCTTTAAGAAGTCATCTTATTTTCAGTGTTCTAAGTAACCTCTCGCAATTTATTTTTCATGCATTCGTTCCTCAGAATAGTCAAAAGGATGTCATGATAGAAGAGATGAATGAGAAAACAAAAATCATAGAAAGCTAATAATATGGTGACTAAAGATGTGAATAAGGAAACACATATTGCCTTGGTTGCATTAAATTTATATGAATGAGGAAACATAGACCATTGAACTGATAATGTGGTTGCCAAAGATGGGAATAATGAAACATAGATTGCTTTGGTATCTTCACAAGTCATTGTGTTCGGCCGCATTGCTTGTGTTTTAGGCAAATGGCTTCATGATTTTATACTATTATAGATTTTATTTTATCATGGATAAATTCTACTGCAACATATTTAGATCGCTCCATAAAGCCTCTCCAATAAAATTTACAAAAACTAGATACTGTAATATCAAGATAATTTCTATTAAAAATGAATAAACTAACCATTCCATCCTAAATTATATTTGATACTTGGATTTAGAATTTTATTCTACAAAATAAAAGGATGGTTTTAAACATACAAAAATAAATTTCTATTTCACAAAATTACCATCTCTCATTGATCCGTGAAACCTGACTATTTGGGACATGCACATGAATAACAAAGAAAATTAAACATCCCTATCATGAGATCAGCAAAATAATAATAATAATATGGGTATTATTCAATGAGTAACAAGAGAGTGATAGGAAAGTTGAAATAAAGATAAAGCGCGAACAAAAAAAGAATTTAAGACACTATTACACTATCTCTTTCAATTCTTTTAAACTCTCTTGTTGAATACTATATATATAAAGTAGCGCCTAAAAAATATTTACTTCTACCAAATGTTTGGAAAGAAATGTAAGGATTAGGAAAAAGGCTAAATTCAGAGAAAAAATTTGAGGGAAAGCCAAGCGAAGAGACCATGGGATTTGGGTTCCTGCATCAAAGAACATAGATAGAAATATGATTCCTATTTGGTAATCTCATATGTAAAGAGGAAATTAGACCAACCTTCCTTTCATAAAAGGTTTTTAATTTGATTATTGTACATCAAAAATATGTCAGTGCAGATCCTAAGGAGATTTAATTGTCTAGAAGAAAATAGTATGATAAAGGAAGGTCCACCAACAAAAGACTGTAGGACCCACTTTTCCAATCTAGTAAAGTTGTTTGAGTCAAAGCCAGTGAAGCCAAAGCCAGCCGAACCACAAAACAGACCAAAGACGATCCGAGGATATAAGAACAAGCCATATACTGTTGGAGTCCAAGCTTTGAAAAGAAAGAAGAAATTAATGATGTTATATTGTACTTTTCTACAAGTATTGGATCTCACTTATGAAAAATTAGTACAAGCATCTATATTGTTGAAATTATATGTAATGGAGTTCTCATCCTTGCAATTTGTCTTTAAAAGAGAAAAAAATGTTGATATTGGAATATAATAAGTTGCCTTTAATTTTATTCTCTTATTTTAACAATAATAACGTGAATTTAAATTAATTTTACATCTGGATCATATCAACCATTCGACTCACACCGACCAAACTCAACCAACTGGGCAGATCCCACCAAGCCGAACAGATCTCAACAGACAGAGATAAACCAAATTGAGCTTAGCCAGCAGACCCAGAGAGCAGCTGAGTAATAAGCTCATACATGTAAAATATCAAGAATATATTGTCCATTCTTTAAAGCATAGGCAAAAATGTAACATCATCACATTGAATTTTTTCTCTTATAAATTGGGAGATCATTTCATGAATAAGACACGACATATTATTGTTCATTAATATTGACTTCTCTCTCTCTCTCTCTCTCTCTCTCTCTCTCTCTCTATATATATATATATATATATACACACACACACTTTTGATCTTTATTCCTTGGGTGTGATTTAAGAACAAATCAGGAATCAACAATTACTAAGAATGTAAGTTAATAAAAGTTTTTGTCACCTAATTTTAAGCATAAACAGACATATAAGGATTACCTACAAATAGGGAATGAGAAAAGAATAAAAAACAATATAAATCTTGCATGTCTGAAATACATATCGAGCAAAGTTATCAAAGGAAGGTTTACTATGAAACATAACACAAAATAGTTTGATGTTTCCAAGAAATAAATTACACACAGTGAAAAATTAGTATAATAAGACAATGTTGTGAAGCATAACACAAAATTGCTAAGTTTTTACTTGATAAAAATATAAGGATGGTGCTAATTTAACTTGTCATGGTGGGCACCTCAGAGTTTGTTCTGACTATGCTTCAATCCCCTTTTTAATAGTTTTTTGTGTGTGTCTGTGTGAAAAAAGGAATGTGAAATAACCAAGATATATCACAACTATGTCAGAATAGATGGCCATATTGTCAAATTCTAAAAGTTAGAACTATCCAAGTTTACTTACTGAAGTAAGAAATTCACAAAATTTAATCTACATACTAAAAACACTGATGATTTCAACAGTATACAATAACCTTCAAGTTCGGTAAGACGGTGCTGAATTAAGCTTTGGAACCGACTTTCCTTTGTTTTCCTTAAGGCTGTGCTTGACAAGTGCTTTTCTTGAAGCTCCACTAATGCATCTCCAAACTGTGCAATTAAATTAATTCCATTGGGGATCCCGTAAAGCTACACAAGAGAGATAATAATGCATCTATCAGTTCTGGTAACTTTCACTTATCTTTATGCTTACAAAATGCAATGATTGAAACAATAACCCAGATAATGTTTCAACAACTGCTGTCTCATTGTCTAAACCCAATATCTTATAAAACAGTAGTGCAAACTGCAAAACCTATTAGCACAACTTCCTTCCATTTCCCACAACTTAAGCTCGGTAAACAAAATAAAAATACAAGCTAGAATCCTTCCAAACACCGAAAAATTTAATCTTCCCCAGTCACACACCCACTCGCCCTTCCCAACTTTTCACACTGCAACAGCCACCAAAAAAAGGCCGGCGCTCATTTCGACTTCACAAGCGTTACGCGAGCAATCTCTCCCAGGGAAACCTAGACAACTACTTGCAATTTCTTATAATGAAAAACGATGGAAACTCAGTTAGAAAACGCGTTAAGAAAACGAACTGAATCATCCTGGAGAGAGGTATCGGGAGCATCGATCTCTTCCGCCGCCGCTGGCTCGCCATCCGAGAGTATCCCGTCTGACGCAGCGTCGTTGTTGTAGATGGAAGAAATGGCTTGAAAGACATCTGAGGGAAGCGGAAGGTTGCGAGAGATGAGGTTGAGTGCTCCGATGAGCGTCTTCGTCTTCTCCGTGTGGTCCACAGGGGTAAACACCTCAGCAGGAGCAGCCATGGCCGAACTCCGATTTTGGGGCTGGTTTAAAAAGTACAACGGTCTCCTCTTATCTCTCTTTCCCGGGAAATTCACAAGCTCCGCCTCTATATCTTTCAAAACTTATGCCCCGTTGCGCCTCTGCCTTAGCCCTAGCAAATTTCTTCACGGGGCCTCAGCTCTCGCATATTACATAAAGTAAATAATAGAGGGGGAATTTACTTCCACACCATACAATTCTTATGAATTTACACATCTAACCCCAAATGTTTGATATTTATACTTGAAAATTTGTATTTCACTTTTAAAAAGATAATAATGATAATATTTTTTAAGTGACATTAAAAATTGAGCAATATACATGCAAATATGAAATATTTAAATGATAGGTATGTAAATACATGAAAAATGTGTGGTACGGTATATATGTAAATGCCCCAATAATATCAATATTATATAATAAATAATAATAGTAATAATAATAATGATAATATTGATGCTAATATTATTATCAGTTATTTAATATAATACCAATAACTTTAATAACACTATATAGTTAATTTTCTTAGTCAAATTAATGCATGAATTTGTAGTAGAATAAACAAAGTTATAAGCTTGATTATAATTGAAATACTATTGTCAAATTTTTGCATAATTATTATTAAAAAATCTTTTGAATTATTCAATTATTTAGGAGCTAAGTTTTAATATAGTTGTTTTTTCACTACTTCAAGTACAATACAATTAATCAATAATTGTTATATTGAGGATTATATATTAATGTTAAGGCATAAGATGTAGTCTTACAACTTCTCATAAGAGTCTTGGAGTCAAATCTTTGAAAAGATCTTACAACTTCTCATAAGCGTCTTGGAGTCAAATCTTTGAAAAGATAGAAAAAATTAATGATGTTTCATTGTACATTTATATAAGTTATTTGATATCCCTTATGGACAATGAGTAAAAGCATTTTTATAGTTCAAATACATGCAATTTGCCTTTAAAAGAGAAAGAAGTATTGACATTGAAATATGACAAGTTGCTTTTAACTTTGATTTTCTTGTTTTAACAATAATAACGTAAATTAAAATTAATGTGGAAGGACTAAAAACATTATTTCTTAATAGACGCAGTAAATTATTTGAATACTGACATCACCATTACAGATCATAGTATAGAGGTATGATTTTTAAATTATAAGATAAAGAATTGTACATTCCATTTCAAGAGCCTTGGTAACATTATTCTATTGAAAAATAATCTATCATTAGATTATACGTCCTTATGTGGCACAAGAAGCATAGCCCATATGCCTATTATTCTCATTAATAAGAAGATAATTGATACACTGCTACCTAATATTGCCTTTATTGATACAATCATAGGTATAATTCATAAACATATAGATCTATTAGCATTGGTATTTCGAAGATAGTTGGTTTGATGTTCTTAAAATGTCTTCATTTTAAAAAATACAAAGTGACTCAAATTTATTTGTTTTAAGGAAATCAAGAGTTATTTGATTGGATGAAAATTAAATGCATTTGAATGCTTTATTGTGTTTATTATAAGACATTTTAAATGTATTGAAGTAGGGTGGATAGTGGTAGAAGAAGTTGATCAAGGGAAAGGGGTGGAGGGAGAAAGGAGAGATGATAATAACAAATGATGTGTGATGGCAATGAGAGGCAAATAGGGAAGGGTAGGTCTCAATCTATGAGTTTCTCTAGTAAGATTTCTCCAAATTTCAATGAATTTTGAATTTATCAAAATTAGGCATTATAAGAGATTATATTTATTTTAGAAAATAACATTTTATTTGGTTTATCAAACTATGAGCAACAAAACTATGCATTTCATTACTTCCCCTTACTAATATATGCAACCAAATAACTTTTTATACTCTTAAAAGAGTCTTCTTCTATTAAAGATTTGTACATATAATATGGATTTATTGGCATGCATCTTTTTATGTGGATGTGTTATCAAAAGGAGCATTTGACCTGAATCTAATTACAAAATCATATCAATAACATAATATTTATAAAATGAAATCACCATTAAATTTTTTCAACTGTTGCTAATAGCTCATATTCGGCTCATTGAAAAGCTGATGTTTGAATTGTTCATCAAGCAAAAGAGGCAATATTGAATAATTATTTTGTGTATATTTTCTTAACAAGCTTAAAGTAAATAAAGACTTATTTGATCATGTTTAGCTCATTACTCTCTCTCTCTCTCTCTCTCTCTCTCTCTCTCTCTCTCTCTCTCTCTCTCTCTCACACACACACATCAACACACAACACACACACACATCAATTTTTATCTAACTAAATCAGAAGGCATGTCAAGCTAGCTTATTGTCACCTCCCAAAAGAGCTTTTATGAGTGGTGGGCAGCCCAGGACTTAAATACTGCTTTTCGGCCCTACACTTAGCCGATGTGGGACTATTTGTCTGTGACATTCTACTCCACCCAATCACGTAATCACGTGATGCCCTGGCTCCACCGAGGGTCCCACTGGACCATGGAGAGTCCACACACCTGGCAGGCAGTAATCTGCTCTGATACCACTTGTCACCTCCCAAAAGAGCTCTTATGGGTGGTGGGCAGCCCAGGACTTAAATACTGCTTTTTGGCCCTACACCTAGCCGATATGGGACTATTTGCCTGTGACATTATGCTAGGCTTATTTACACCTCTATCATGAACTAGAATGCTCATGACTTTTAAAATATTGTAGAATCACATGTATTTTTCTAGGATAACAAGTATTTTTCTAATATTTATACATAATGTGTGTGCTTGTATGTGTGTGGACTTCAGGATTTAGGATAACAAAATACTAAACATAAGGGATTGATCTAGCTGAAATATTAAAATTTGATTGTAATACAGTTAGAAGGTTAAAAATAAATTCTTAATTGATCCTTGCAAGTCATCATTGATAAAACACTTAAATGTTATAAGATTAGCATGAATAAATGCTTATATTATTTTAGATATAAGGACGTGCATTATTTGGCCAAAATCTAAAAGCTAAAAATCTAAATGACAAAATTTGGCTAGTCATGTTGGGTTTCGAAATATACATTTTATATTTTGGTTTATAGAACCTCGATATTTGAATTTAGATAATTGGCTCGATTTTAATTTTTATTTAATCGGACAAGCTAAAAATAAATATTGAAATTAAATGAATGATTCATGAAATGAAGCTGATATGATACATGTAAGGTATGAAATTTTTGATGTTTATTCACAATCAAACTAAAAATAACAACTGAATTTTGGTTTGTTCACAATTAAATCGTTTAAACCACATTAAATTTTTGTTTAGTAAATTCAATTTTATCAAAATATTGACTAGTTCAATTTTTTGGATTTAAGTTTCTCGATTGCAAGATGTTTAAGAAATTTAAAAACTAATCCCTCCAAACCGACCAAATGCTCACCATAGAGTAGAGAAAGTTGTGTTAAGGGATAAGATAGTTGGAGGAAGAAGATGAAGGTCTTTCATTCCTCTCATTTTTTTCAATCATCTTATTGATCTCATTTTTTAACCATGTTCCCAAGGAACCATGCCCTATTGCTTGCCATTCTCAATTGGTGCTTGGTGTCACTCTTACAATCTCATATGGCCTAATATATAGATTCATATTTTAAATCTCATTGAATAGAAACATAATTTTCATCATAGTAATCTTAAAACGCACATTATAAGTGCATCAAACTTCTCTGAATAGTGCTTAGTATCATAATACTATCATGCAAATCTCATACAACTCTTAATTTATTTAGTATAAGTCAAATTTTATCAATAGCCATATCTAGCAATTTTGAAGTCACTATCCATCTCTTGTCAACTTTGGCCCAACATAAAAGCCTTCCTCACTTTATACTATAGAGTGGCTCATATGATGATATTCCAACACAGGATTGAAAACTAGTATTATTGGCAATCTCTAATATAGATACATATATTGTATAACTGATATGAAGTCAATGATTAGTAGCATGAGTTGGATCTTCTAAAGTTGAAATAATCATTTAAAGTTAACTAGTCATTGGTATGATGATAAAATGTTGCACTAAATAATACTTAGCAAGCAAAGCTTCTTGAACTTCTAAAATAAGAAATTTTCTTCCTTATTTTAAATTTTAGGATTCTTATCCCTTTGAATTTTCTAATTCTTATTGGGTGTGAAATGACACTTAATGAATTTCATTTGAAATCTATCCCAATTAAAAATCTATACTATAAAATGCAATGTCAAAACTCAGCAAGCCAAGCAATATATATAATTGATGTAATTGCAATGTATACATTATATATATATATATATATATATATATAGCTGAGTCCTGCCGACTGTTTTTAGTAGGTAAGTTTCTTTATGGAAACCCTAAACTTGAACTAATTCAAAAGGACTTTGAGCAAATGAAGCTGAAAGGGGGTTGGAAGATCGGTAAATTGGATGGTCGCCACATTCTTATTCAATTATCAAATGATGAAGGCTACACCCATTTATTTGCGAGAAGACTTCTTCGAATAGAAAACCAGGTGATGAAGGTTTTAAAATGGACGGTGGGTTTTGACCCCCGTATTGGACCTCCTGCCATTCCTGTTTGGCTGCGCTTCCCAGATCTGAAGATCCACCTTTTTGATCAAGAGCTTCTCTTCGCTTTAGCGATGGTATATGGTAAACCCCTCAAAATTGACTCGCTTACAGTGAATCTAACTCGACCTTCAGAAGCCAGAATTTTGATAGCAAGGGATATTACTTTACCTTTTCTGGGAGAAATATGGATTGACACGAAATATGGAT